GCCGAGTTTTGCCAAAGAGCCCTTCATTTCAGCTGGTCGGAGTCCAGATCACCGAAGACTTGATCTGGCACGTACACATATCGTCACTAGGGGCAGCCTATTCATGTTCGATGCTGTTCAGGGGAGGGCTGTCCGACTGATCGATGACTCTTCTCTAATGCCTGCACTTCACTATCGACGACGATCGTTGATCGTGTGATCGTTTCTAATATGCACGTTCAACGTGCAAGTATCCACACGAGCGTCCGCAGTAGTTTGTCAAACGGCAAGTATCAATATGACCCGGCGATTTCCTTTGATGCGTGTCCGAAAAACCGACAACTCACGGGTCGAAGGCGATCATAGGCGATGATCGACGAGTACAGCCAAGTATGCCCTCTACACGATCGTGCTCGCGCGTAATCGTTTGTAATCGCCGATTGTGAAGAGGAGCCATAACAGACAGCCTCGGGATCCTTCCGCACCGGCAGGCCTTCGGCGATCTGGCACTATTTTACCGCTACACCAAAGGACTTTCCTCCTCAGAGCTCTCCTCCATGATGATCCGCCTGACATTGGCCTCCCATCCCAACCATGTAAAACTTCGTACATCCAGAACTGGCCGATACGACCACTCCTTTGTCCCCAGGGTATCGAGATTGTGGAGGAATCTACAAGAGGCTTTTCCGAGTTCTACTAACCTTAAGTAGTTCAAAAATCGGATTAACAAAGATTCTTTAAGATCCTCATAGAAATCACGGTGTCCTGGCATTTAATGCTTCTGTTTCGGTGTAAAAAACAACGTTGTATACGGTCGTACAGATGGAAGCAAACAGATCTTATTTAGCAAGTCTTATTTTCTTTATGATCCCCTGACTCACTGGGGTGCAGCTGCTCCAAAAACTTCTCACGATCGACCTCTAGCCTTTCTCACGGCGACGGGTGGTCAGAGATCTGGTTCGTTTCTATCGATATGCCATTGAACTTTGCTCCTATGAGCTTTCTTCCATGATGCTGTCGAGCATGAGGACTGCCAGACAAACCCGTCACGCTTCTGTTCTTGATTCTAACTCAGTCAAACTCCATACACCAAGAACTGTTTAGTATAATAATCGGCATGAAGAGCTTTTCCGGTTATACACACCTCTGTATTTTGTTACTATTCGCTATTTGGCCGATCCAGATAAAGTCCTACGTAGGCTCATGTTTCTTTGAGCATTGTATTGGAGATGAATGAAAGAACGTGTACGGTTCTGATGAACACCATATCCATCGAATTAACGCGGTGTGAAATGGACAAATTTACCTTTTTTTTTGTTATTAGCTCAAATGAAAGTTTAGGAAAAATGAAACAAGATGGCGAAACAATTATTAATTTTTCTCCAAAACCACAAAGTTACAGCCGATAAAAGTTGCGCCCCGCGAGAATAATTTTATTCCGTCTGTACGTTAAGCGTGACGTCACACTTCAGTATCCAGTTGCAACGCCCGCGACCGATTCCTGGGCCCGAGCCGACTCAATCTCCTAAACACATTCATAGGCACACATTCAACGGGACACATGGTAGACTAAACGTTTTCCGCCCCAATTTGTTTAATTAGTTGACGGCATATACGATCGGTTATTAGCGAAATAAGAAAAAATGGTTGTTATAAATACTGTACCGTTCCAAAATGTACGAGCACAACAATTACAACCCCTAAATAACATTTTTTTACGTAACTTCACATGCGGCGTCCATAATGGTATGAACTTACGCAGTACTCAATAGTTATCAACTGGAAACCACGTGTCCGAGCGCACAGTGTGTCCTATGAATTGTCTATAGACTAAAGACTAGGCGCACAGACGCTGTCGAACACCTACGGCCGATTTCAATAATTTTTTCACTGGCTGATTATATTTAGTCTATATTTTGCTGGTATTTGGTCATTACTTATGCGATTCTGAATATCACGAAATTCTCCATTATTATCATGAACCCCCCTAAAATAGAAGGTTAAGGGTGCGCCACTGACTATGAGGAATATACAAGGACGAACAGACGGTCGCGGAAGGCGCTATTGCAATATTCGTCGACCGAGTGGCTTTCAACCGTCGGCTGCGTCGCACCCCGCCATGCCAGGCCGACGCCACCCTCCGGGGGTTTGGAGGTGTCGTAAATTTAATGGGGTGCATGCCGACGAACTCCCTCCCACTCCGTTGCACCGGTGGGGTGCTCTGTCAGCCAGTCAGACAGACCTCTGACAATAGTAAAGTAGGCGAGTACAAGATGCGAGTATAAGATACATCCTTTGCAATATATGATTTTTGTGAAAGGTTGTTGGTTTAGATTTAAATTAGGCACATCGTTGATGCAATAGCAAAAAAAGTTGAGACCACGTTGTTTTACAGAATTTTCGACTCTAACTATGAAGCAGAGATCCGAAGCAACTTCTGCTTCTGCGAAAGCGCAGGCAGTACGTTTCTGTTAGCGTTATCCCATCAGAGAATATTTTATTTTAGTATCCAAGCTAAAAAATATCAATGGAATTGAATATCATGGGATCGCCTCGTAAACGTGAAAATGTATAACAAACATTTTTGTCTAAGGTTTTTCTTTGTTATATGCCTTCATATCCATCTGATAAAAGGAACATATGAAATGTATATGTCGCCGTCAAACGCTGAAATTTGTCACTCCCTGAAATGACTAGTCAGTCCCTGTATTGCCGGCAAACATCGTAACAGTTTGATTATTACAACGTTTGACTGAGCATTTTAGTCATTCCCTGTAATGACTGAACAATGTCAGTCAAACACAGTAACAACCACATTAACTTCGTTACTGCATTTGCCTGATTCAGTCATTTATTGTACCAATTTTTGTGCTCATTTGCTTAAGTATACATATAGTCGTTTCTGTTCTCCGTAAAAGCAGTGTTTATCCAATAGATGTGTTTGTTTTTTTTAAACAAATAATGTTTGAAATAATACAAAATGTGAGATAATTAATTCTATTGGAGCAGCACTGTATTGATTACAGCATTTGACTAAAATACGCGAATACAGTAACGAAGTTAATGTGATTGTTGAACTGAAATTGTTCAGTCCTTACAGGGAATGACTGAAATGCTAAGGCATACGTTGTAATAATGAAACTGTTACGGTGTTTGCCGGCAATACGGGAATTGACTAGGCATTTTAGGGAATGACGGATTTCAGCGTTCGACGCCGACATATACATGTACTACAGAAAAGGTGCAAGTCAGAATTAAATTTGGGAGTATTTGGGAGCATTCTTGTCTATCTAAGTGTATCGTACCCATTTGCATATTAATTTAATTTTATAATCATAAATGAAGTGATATCAGAGAATCTGTATATGTATAGGGAAGACCCGTTACAAATAGAGTCAAGAAGGCATGTGATATTAACCTTATATTATTAAGCACCATTTACTTCATGAGTTTATTAATTATAGATGATATGATTATTGAAAAAATAATTTCCAAAAACCTTAAATATCCCTGATTTGAAGGCGGGCTAAAAATAGATGCCAGCACCAGACTAGTTAAGATTATCAATCATCAATTAAAATTTTAGTTTTAAGCAAGGCTACAGAATATTACTGTGTATTGGAAAGGAATTCATAATATCTTATTCCTTAGCGACAAATATTACACACGCACATTTGTATTCCTGCTTCCTGCCTTCTTTGATCCCATCTCGCACCAAAACGCGTCAATAACTTCGTGAAGGTTTCCTTTTACTAGATTTCCCATTATATACGTACATTTAGAATTTGATTAGGGTTGTAAATACAGGTAACTCAAACAAGTCCGGCTTGCGCGACTAAAACAAAAAAATTCTCCAATAAAATTTCAGTTTAAATATATAAATGGACCAATTTTATTGAAAAGATAAACCTTGGATCTTCACTAATGTGTCTGGTTCCGTTCCAATACTTACACTTGGTAGTAACGGATTTTCTGAAAACGAAGAGCCAAAGAGACCAGGGATCCGCCTTAGGGGAGGGGTTTAAGCGCCCTATTTATGCTCTTATATCCATCTGATAAATGGGACACATAAAATATATCTAGTACAGAAATGATGTGAGCCAAAAAAAATGCCTGTCTATTTAATTGTAATTCATCGTAACCGCATCACGTTAATTTAATTTGATGATCATTAAGTGATAGCGTTTTTTTGTATTAGAGAATCTGTATCTGTGTAGGGTAGACCCGTTGCAAATAAAAAAAAGCGCCCAAAGTGCCCATTTTGTCCTCGATTTAAATAATCTGAATGAGCATCATTTACCTTATGCGTTTATCAGTTATGGTTGAACACCGTTATTAAAATATTTTAATAAAAATAATGTCCTAAAACCTTAAATATCGTGACTTGAACGTAGGTTGAAAATAGGTGCCAGAACTAGACGAGTAGAAATTGCCAATCACTTATTGAGATTTCATTTTAATCAAGGAATCAGAATATTGTATATCAGAAGAAGATATATAGTATACCATCCCTTAGCGACAAAGATTGCAGACTCTCACTTGTATTCTTTCTTCCTGCATTCGTTCATCCCATCCAATTTAAAAACGCATCAATAACTCTATCCATTCGATAACTGAATTTCTTTATACCAGGTTTCCCATTATTCTTTTGGAATTTGAATAGGGATTCCAGAAGAATAGTGGGTAGTAGATTTTCGTCCCGTCACTTATTTTTGGCAATAATGGAAAATGAAGACCCAATGAGACCAGGCGTCTACTTAAGGGGAGGAGTTTAATTCAGGGTTCTCTAATAATATATTCTAACAAAACCATTGGTGATAACATTACTATTTAGAGCTCAGATATCACAATTTTCATGCTTAAGGTAACTGATAATAAGATCATTTTAGAACTATAGTCATAATGGGTATTTGGCAATCCATGATGTACAAAACTGTCCACTTCTTGGACTAAAATAAAAGTGTGGACAATACATGTTGCTTACTAGCACCAATAGATTGCATTCCGATATTCCGAAGTTTGTGACCTTTGACCTTCCTCCAATTTTCCAACTGCTTTGATTATTCGCTCGCCTTTATGAATGTTCCGAGTTCGAGACTATGCATCAACCCGTCGCGTCGTTTCATGCCTTTTCGAGATATTCATTCTGCAAAGGGGAAATTAAAATCCAAGGGCCAATTGGTTTTCCACTCTCAAAACTCTTCCTGTTACGTTTTATGGAATTGATTTACTGGAAAATATTTTTAACTCACGCTCCATGCTTTGGTGCGATGGGGAAAAATGCTTTGTGCAAAATTCGAAAGTGTACGTAACTCATACAAAGGACACTGTCGCAAAATATAAATTCAGTCAGTGGATAGCAAGTAAATGCATACAAAAATGGCGGCAGTTGCATTGACTTTGTACCATGCGAGAGTAGGAGTACTAGTAAAAACACCATCTGAGTCAACTGTCGTACGTTCTGGTATCTTTACTATCCGCCAGCTAGTGATTTTATAGAATTAATATAATTGAATTTGTTGACTTGAATTAACCGGTGCTGATTAATAATAATAATCGTCTTTATGATATACATAAGAAGAAAAATGTGAAAATAGAAGGATTAAGTCACACTACAATGGAATAAGTAATGCCAATTTAGCTATAAAAAGAAGAAGAGATAATATTTTATGAAGAAACAGAAAAATAACTGATCAAAAATACAAAGTATGAAAATAAAAGAGCTTCTTGAGTTCGCGATTGTTCTGCATTTATTGTAAATATCCTTTTAACTATACTCTGAAATTCTGGATACTCTTCAGATCCTGGCATAAGCTGTTGTAACAAAATTCCATTGTGAGTAAAAGATCTTCCGATAAGTGTTGTGCGATGTATTGACATAATTAAGGTGTGACGGCTATGAACCTGAGGATTATGCAGAGACGCCCTTGGAACAAGTTTACCAGTGAGGCATTGGGGGGATGATGTTAGGACGATCTTGTGAGTAAAGCTTAGAGTGGAGTATTTTAAAAGGTTTTTTATGGTGCATAATATTTGGGCAGCTTTCGTATGCCCTGGTATCATTACATCGTCGCGCGTCGTTGACAAACTCGATGACGCTACGGCCTGGAGCAGCTAAATTCAGATCGGACCCTGCCCAGATAAAGAATACCGCGTGTTTCTGAGTAGCTAGTGTTGCTTGTGTCACAGACGTAAATGTTATCCGATATATGTATGGTATTATGTCGAACAGGTGGGTAATACTACCGGTATCTGTAATTTCTAATTAATAGGAGCCTCGGAAACGGCGGTGGCTGTTATTGCATCTGACAGGAGCCCTTGCAACAAGAATTTTCTGATTTATATTCGGGAGTGGTCTCTTCGGGTAGGGGGTGGGACTATTCCCTGACACACGTCATGTAACATCCAAAAAAAATAATATCTCATTTTCGGTTTTTTCCGGGTACAATAATTCCTCGTAATTGACGTAGGTAGTAAAAGTGTTTTCTAACTATTTAGTGAGCTCCACTCATTCTGTGCCATTAGTTATTCGATAGGCTAGGCAGAAAACGTAATTGAGAACGTAATTTAGGCGTAATTTTTAACGCTTCGGTGTACTATTATCAGGTCATTATAGGTCAAGGATTGCAAGACACTCGACAAATTTTCTCATGGTATGAAGTAAATACACGTTTCTAAACTATGAGGTAGCTTAGAACATCATAAACACCTGGAAAATTTGGCCTGTAACCTCTAATTATATAATGGCTGTAATACATCACTACAAAACTCTTTTTCCTCTTATAACATCCAAGTAAATCGCATCCATCTATGTCACTGTTTCCGGTAAGAAAGATACCGTTGAAGAGTTGCAAGAACATTAATTTTTTGAATTACTTTGGAATTATTCAGTAGTAGGGTAAAACCGTTTCTCTTTCCCATTTTTCTTATTTATCTTCAGCGGTAGCTATAATACTTCAGTCAGTGGGATATATAGCTTTTTATTTTACCTAGGACATATATCAAATGGGTTTTACTTCGGCTGGCTATTAAATTTTTATTATTAAAAGCAAGACTTGAGTTTGTACGAGGGTTGATCCAGAAATAACGTTCCTAAAGAGTTGCAGCTTCACGGGAATTTGCATGGAGAAATCGGGCAGCAGCGTTATGCGCAGTTGTTCGCCACTCTCTATTTCCCCGGACATGCTTCGCCGCGCCGCTCAAACTTGGCTCAGCAGCCGTCCGATGTGGATGCTCTTATTGTTGATTCTGGCAAATGCGACATTCCTTCCGTAATTCTAATTTTGTATTTTGCACGTCAAAGATACCCCCCCACCCGTGGACATGCAATGTCAGTTGACAGATGTATATGGCGACATGTGTATGTCTGTACAACACGTCCGAATATCGAGCAGGGCGTTTAGTGACAGTAGGAAGTCCTCGGGGTGGAGGACCGTCAGTGTTGGGGGCGATGATCGGACATACACCTCTGTCAACAGAAGATGAATATCTACACATGGAGACCCTTTGACGTGCGAATTACGGAACGAATGTCGCATTCGCCAGAATCAAGAATGAGAACATCCACATCGGACGGCTGCTGAGCCAGGAATGAGCGGTGCAGCGAAGCATGGCCGGATGAATCGAGAGAGGTTGAACAACCGCGCGCAGCGGTGTCGCCGCATGTCGCCTCGAACCTTCCCGTATGTGTGAAGCTCTTTGGGGACCTTATTCCTGGATAAACCCTTCTAAATTGTCAACAAAGTGTCACGGATGATAGAAGATGTGTTTTTTCTATGATGCTGTACAGTACTTAGGAGATTTAGTTTTATTTAGTAGGGGACAGAAGAAAAACAATGAAGTATATCCAGTGCCATTTTATGATTCTAAGGGTTTTGTAGCTGTAAACGGTATTCCTTCTTTCCATTTAGAATTGCTCTGTTACAGGTATTTAACTGAATTTGAACGATAGCTTGAGTTTCGCCAACTTTGAAGGCAAATATCTTGAAAAAGAGGGGTAAAATAACTGAGAGAAAGTGGGCGTGGTTCTCTTGCTTTGTCAAACAATTTGTTAATACACCCATCTTAGGTAAAATCATAAATATGCACCTGGGTTCTTCATGCAATAACAGTTTCATGAACAGTTAACTTCGCCTTTAAAGCGGCTCTTAGTTCAATGGCCAGGATTAAAGTTTAATGAAAGGTAAGAGAACCACGCTCATGCTGTCACAGTCATTCTGCTTCCTGATTTCAAGAATCAACTGGCAAACATCCATAAAAAGTTGTTTAGTGCAGATTTTAAGCCAATAATATCATTGGTCCTTGCTTGGTCGTGTATAATGTTGGTGAAACTATCGTCGCCTAAGGCGAAAACGACAGATTAATGGTAACCAGATTCTATTGGACATATAATATTTCGATATCCTAAGCTCGGCAGCGAAGTGCGTGAAAGAGTTTGTATCTCAGTTGTAGAATAAAGTAAACTCAAGACAGTAGAAATATGATACCTATGGAATATAGAAGTATGTATTTTTTTGTTTTACACTTGCAAGGTTTCTCTGTGTCGTCCATCGCACTACACTGTAACTTTCTTTTAATTCCAGGTCACCAGAATATCAAATTTCCAATAATAAACTTCCTTCATCATATTTCTGAGATAAATCTGGAACTCTAACTAGATTATATTGGTAGTAAACAAAGTTAGATGCGGGATTTATTACTCACGTAACATTATAAGTTATTGGCAAACTTGAAGAGATGGCAGTTTTCTTAGAGCTTTTATTGCCGAATTTTACCTGCAGCTCATACATTTTATGAACTAGCGGACCTTGCTTACGAGATTTCTATTTATCGTTGCTTGACAAAGGGCTCTGTTCGACACTTTTGTTCTGAAGTCTTGTAGGCCAAATCTGGTTATCTAGATATCAAACTCAGGGAGAAAGGAGGGAGAAAGAAGGAGAGATCAAAGAATGGAAGGGAGAGGGAGAACAAAGAGGCGGAAGTGATTTGGTTGGAAAGGTGCCTTGCCAATGTTAACTAGGACTCAGTAATTTCAAAATGATATACCTAGGCAATTAATTTTGGTGTTTGTACAGTCAAAGAAAAGGTCGTGGGACAGGGCTTAAGGAAACGATACCTATGTACTCTTTTCGAATGTTGTCAGGGTTTCTCGGGATATCAAAATCGCCCATAAAGTTTTCCATATCTACAGCCGCGAACCATAAATCATCATATAATGAGTGAGAAGTTTAGGCTTGCTCTGTAGAAAGTTTTGGTAAGACTGTTCACGAGCAAATTTTGGGAACAGTCCAAAATGGCTTTGTCTGATAAACATGTGAGCTGCCAGAACAACATACTCAGTGCATAACAATCTATGCTTATACAAGGACAGTGAGGCCGACAGAAAGTTGACACGCAGGGTACTCAGGTAACATAAGATTAATTTGGATGTTGCTCGTTGAGTAGTTAATTTAAAATTTTAATCTACGCCCTGTATCTAAGATTTCGCTCGGCCTGAGGAAAAACGTTCTACATAAAATATTTGCGTTGTTTAGTATAGAGCGTGGAAATAGTGTTATTGAAATCAAAAATCTTTACCTGACCATAGTTCCTTATGAATTCCCTCAATTCCTTTTCTTTATCTTCCAGCGTCAAATACAGCTGCTTCATCTGGTTCAGTAGGTCGAACTTTTCCGCCTTTAACCGTCTTTTGTCTGCTTTCAGCGCTGTAAAACCAATTTCATTATAAGATTTCTGCGAAATGGAAGTCGAGTAAATATAGGGGCTGATTTTATTTGAAGTTGTTTGGTCGCTTCATTCAAACCATGTAGACTTTTTTTCAATCGGCGTTTGCATCACCAGGAAAACGGGTGGTGAATCTTTCTTATAGACCTCGGACATTATGAAATATTACTTTTAAACAGGATTATGCTATGTTGTAGTATATTGATAATTTATTCTCAAGCATTTGAGATGTATAAAATTATTAAAGGACAATTTTTACTAAGATAAAGAGACTTTGTAGTGCTTTGTCGTTTATTTATATAATACCTATGTAGCAATAATCAAGCAGACAAATGTTTCCCAACTGAAAACTCGCCAAAATCGTAGCAAGTAAATGAAATCATTGTAAACCTACTACTAATTTCCAGTTTCGGTTTTTTGCTGTTATATTCGGGCAAAGCAAATAAAACAAGTATCTATGCTTATTTGATATGTAGACAACATTGCTCGATAGATGCAATCATTATTATTATTGTTGTGAATTGTGACTTCCTCATCTGTTATGGCCTTTAGATCTGGTAAGGCGGGACTGTTGCTGCACGCGATGGCATTCAAAGTTACTTTGGCAAATATTGTAAAGCGTAATTAGAGTGTACAAAGGATAGAATTACCCCCATAAGTGCAGGATATTATCTGATGGGAAGGAGCCTCGTTACAAACATGAATGGATTGAGCTAATCACTGGTTCGGAGGTGATTAACCCTATAACAGCTAGAGTGGCAGGAATTCTTTGAAATTGATAGTGTTCTTCGCATTATTGTGTGAAAAACTGGATGACAAAGATTATAGTGACGATGAAAGTAATAGTATGGAACTTATTGCTGAAAAACTTGGGATTTTGTGGCACTTGTCATTGAAAGGATCAGAGTCCATAAGCGGGGTTTTCGGGCCTAAACGTACTCCAAATTTCAAGATGACGGCATCCATGAAATTTTTGCATTCACATGTTTATATAACGTATATTTCTATTTTTTAAGCATTTATCAACATTATTAATTTTATTTTTGTACCTGTAACCTAGAATTTTTATTTGGGTGCATGGTCAAAGCAATTTCTACTTTAAATCTATAATAAAACACGTTAAGACACAACACATACATAAAAAAGGCGACTAAGGATTATGTCGAGAGTAAATGTACGGAGACATCTATGATTAGTGAAATATGCCTAATATGTGCATAGAATTACTGGGATTGGAGGCATATAAATGTAAAAAATTGAGATAATTGAGATATATTCACCTCCATCCCCTGCAACCCCTAATCCCCAATCTTTTAGCCCTACAAAAATGTTTCCGAAAATGATCAGGATCGTCTGAAACGTCAAAGTTTAGAGATATTTTTCTTTTGTTTTTGGCCTTTTTCTTCGCCGTCACTGGATTTTCAAAAACTACAGCAATTTCGCGCCCTTGACATAGTAGTAAGTAATATTGTGCAACAATTTCATCGTCATCCGAGCGGTACTTCTCAAGTTATTATAGGTGGTTATAAGAGTGGCGGACAGACCGACAGACGGGAAGACAGACATCCAAAAAACATTCCTAATATCCCATTTTCGAAAAATTTCGCATTTCGCGATTATTATAGTACTTCTCCGCCAGTAGGAGTGGGAAGTAAAAATGAAAGTGGCGCACCACTGCGTTCACAATAAAAACAAAACACTACACAATTATAATAAGACTTCAAGGTTTGTTTTCAATTGTCTGTGTGTGCGTAGTGATTTGAGCTTTAAAAAAACAAGCAAGTTATAAAATAAAAAAATGTTCATGAAAGTGTGAGATATATATGTTTTAAAAGATTTTAATGTAACATTTTATAGATGCGATCACCTTCAGATTTGAGTTATTTTCAGGGTCGGAAACTTCACTCATGGACCCTGATCTTTTCTGAATAGTTTTTGTTGGTCGGCCGTATGCATGTGAATAGATCTACATATATAAAATGTATTTATTTGTCGAAATATATTTTAATTTGTATGTATGATCTGGATACCACTACGCATTCAAACTAGGTAAAAAGAGTAAGCCTCGTTTTGTTTGTATTTGTATTTTTTGACAGCTCTGTCATTAAATTTGTATTTTTAGTGTTATTTTTTAAAACTGCCAGCGTTTGCAGATAATTGCTGTGTCAGACGATTACATGACATGGTACTTTTTGCATAATTTGCAAAGAGCGGCACAACCCTAATGAAGGTAGATCTTTTCACCGGTAGGTAAGTGTTATTGTTACGTTAGTACAATGTTGTCACTTTGGCAGGCAATGGTAGTCAAATGAGTTAAAAGTATGCACTAAAACTATGCAATTTTGGCGACAAACAATACAATGCAAACATATAGGCTTGTTTGCTCCTAATCTATTCGTATCCGTTGGGATACTCTTATATGAGGTCCTGGAGATCTTTTTCTCATGGGTGTGACGAGATCATTCTAAAGAAATCCGAAGCAATCCAAGGAAATTCGATGCCGTATCTATATTTGCCATAATAGCTCATGAAAAATCAATGGAATTAGCAAATTATACTGGTTTTCAGTAAAACTTTAGCTGGTGGTCATTCACAGAGATCCGACGAGTTCCAAAGAAATTTCAGATCCCAGGATTTCTGAAGAGACCCATGAATGTCCAAGAAAATGTAAATAACATCTGAGCGGTGCTTTTTTGTTCCAGGTGTGTAGTTAGCTCCGCGTCCATACCCAAAGGCTGTACATGCAATGAACCGCTGGAATAACTCACTCGAGAGCTCAAGAAGACACGTCTAAGGAGCTCTCCTGTAAGCAATCGTGTAACAATCTGTTTATTTAGGAATGGACTGAAATAGTGGGCCAGCCAATCAAGGATGAAGCAGGCTTTTTTTATACTCGAACTACCACGAAGACCTAAACACCCATTATATCCGATTTTCCATCCCTGGAGTTGTGCAAACTGATAAATTTGGATAAGGAACATCCAAGAATCTCCGTTTGTTTCTGTTAGAAACTTCCATAAAACCACAACCATATAATGAAAATAGCTTTATATTATTCAATAAGAAATGGCCAAGGGGTATTTAAAAGAATTCGCCAATCAGCAAATATATTTTCTCTGCGAAGCTTTTGCCTTATCTCAATTTTTTTTATACTCCAACTACCACGAAAGCCTAAGGCCTAAGCACCCATTGGGTACCGTGGGGCTATAGGGGGATACATGGGAAAGGGGGAACGCCACACGGACTCTGGCGAGGGAACACGTGTGCATGCAACATGCACACATTCTGACTTCGCCTACGAGATCCGCCGGGTGGTACCTCCGCGTTCGACAGTCAGAGACCGTCTACCACCTACGGACAATCACCACATCCATAGCCAAGAGAAAAATGTCTCCTCGGACGGAACTCGAACCCGCACAGCGCACGGCGACTGATCAGGAGACCGAAGAGTCTACTACTGCGGCCACCGCTGCTGCCTATGTGCAACAGACGTCACTATTCATAAAACGGTGTAATGTGGGTTAAACCGATACAAATGACTCATGAGAGTATCACAAAACTGTATTCAGGCTCTACAACGAGTATGAGAAAATATTTGCTCATCTTATTTGCCACTGAAAAGGCCAGTGGTTTTCAAACCTTATCACCATAACTCTGAACCGAAAAGCCTCCTGCAAAATTCTGTTCTCCGAGGAGCATGTTTAAAGTCAGAACCGATAGCGCTTCGAATTCGCGCATCCTGTCACGTGACGATCGTAAAACCTCAGCCACTCTTGGCCAGTCTTCTCTACGCCGCCATTACGTTTCATGGCCTATGTTAGTGTTAGTTGCGTGGTTATACTACTTTGTTTGTCGCCATGTCGCTGTGTAAGCCCGCGGACTGTGAAGTGCGTTCAGTAATTCCGTTTTTAAACGAAAAAATGCTTCAGTTGATTGAAGCTTAGGCGCGGTGTTCAAAACAGCCAGTGAGGCATGCTCATCATTCTGCATCATGACAACGCTCGGCTTCGCACGAACACAGACGCAGTTTTCTTGAGAATTACTGGATCGTCCACCTTAGCATCATCAGACTTACATCTTTTTTCAGAACTTCAGGAGTTTCGTGGTGGAAAGTGCTTGGAAAATGATGACATGTTGAGAGAGGTAGTTACTAATTGGCTTAACGGTCAAGCGGCTGGGTTCTTTGACGACGGGATCCAAAATCTCGTGCCATGAATTGATATTGCAGGTTGTGATACAAATTACCTCTGACTCCATTACTAAATGGTTGTTATTAAAAAATGGCCTTCGTATATTTAAGTTGGGGAGGTGGGCAAGGGCAAGGGCTGGACACCATGCTGTGATTGGAATTGCTGGACGACTGCAATAGATTTGTTAGCAGTGGCATACATCATTAACCAAAGACAGAGTCAACAACCTAATCCAGTCAAATCCGATACTTACTGATCAAAGCCTCCTTGGCTAACTGCAGTTCCCTCTCCAACCTGTATGCATCTGTATCTCCTGCAGGAGCGGTCTCCCCTTCCACAGGAGGTTTCCTGTCAGCCAAAACATTGCTAGCTCCACTGACCACCAGCCTTCTCAACCTGGTCACTTCCGCCTGCAATCTTTCATTCTCGGCCCGAAGACGTCGCACTGCCCCTCCGGCTGCCCCTGATACACCGCCTTTGCTGCCCAGCGGGGAAGGGAGAAGGGCTGATAGGTCATCGGCGCATCGAGTTGCACCGTCTGAACTGCGGGGGGATCGGGGGGAAGACGAATCTGGAATAATTGAAATAGACACTTTACAGTTTTGCTATATCCAACAGTGTTGCAGAACAGGGTCATTGCATGCATGCGATATACAGGGTGGTTCAAGAAGCAGTGACAATATTGTAGAGCGGAAAGTTCATAGTCCATTTACTCATGAAGACTTGCAATAATATAAACATCGTATTTTTACGTAGTTCTATTCATAGGTATAATCATTGATTAACTTATTCTATCTGAAGATAAATGAGATACAGAAGCGTTTCGTCATATATGAGAATTTGTCTATTTCTCTATTTACTATACTTTCAAAAAGTTAACGTCTCATAGATGGCGCTATCTGCTTGAACATATACAAGCATGCAGAGAAACAGTTGTGACAAATTCTCAAAGATGACGCTACGGTATCTCAATTTATTCGTTAAATACAAAGCATAAATCTTTTTCAAATAACGCTGTGATGGGATGGGACTACTAGTACATATAATTTGTTATTACAGTTACAGACAACAATAACGGATTTAAACTTTCCATACGGAGCATATAGCCAGCATTTAAACCAAATTTTCCCAGAAAAAATGGTCTAACAGAAATTTATCATGAAAGACCTTTAAATCTAAAAAAAATTGTGGCGTAGAAAATATTTTGGGTCTCCCTTCTACAGAGGTTAATATTTCTTAATTTCCACTGGTGTAGCTGGAGCTATTGTATTGCTTATGCTGTTAGTATAACATATTATACAAAATCTTAAATCGGTCCTTGTTTCTCTCCGGATATATAAGTTTTCAAGATATCTAAATCATAACCTCAACCTTCCACACTCTGTATCAGGATAAGGAAACATTGGGGACTTATGTTTAAATGAACTTTTGGTATTATTTCTGGACCGACTTTCTGCCATTGTGTTTTGCATCAAGGTGTAGGATTTCCCTTATATAGGGGGTTGAAAAACGCTGTCAGAAAAATTCAGGACGGAATCAGTAGGTAAAAATATGAAATAAAGTATATGTAAATACGAGTCTGGAAATTTCTAGTTCCCATAATACATGTTATTCAATCTCTGAAATTGTATGCACTGGCTTCTTCAAATAAAAACAATATAAACTACCTAACTACCCAAAGAAATCATTATACTATCGGATAACCACAACTTTTTGCAATGAGCTCATTACAACATTTGGATATCCTGTGATAAGAAGAATATAACAGGAACATTTTTAAAACTTATTATTTGTTAGCTCGATTCATTTACATACTTTACTGGCTGTTAAGTGAATATTTTTCGGAAGAAGATTCTCACCTAGATCTGGTTGGCTGCTACAACCAGGCTTCGGCGAATCGGATCTGGTCTCCAGGGACGAACGACTGTCCTTTAAAGGACTCGCTTCGTCCTGTACCGTCATTCCGTTACTCTCCTTGCCCTCCTCTTTGGTATCGTCAGAACCCAACCTTTGCGCGGATGGATCCGACTTAGTTTTCTTCACGTCTTTCTTTGATCCACTGTCAGTTTCGTTCAGATCCACTGACAAAGATTTGCTTTTCTTCGACTCTATAGAGTCGTGCCGATTCGGCTTGTAGTTGCTGGTCACACGACTAGAGTTATCTCTAAGTAATACACTGAAACAAAGAAATCTAGATAAAGTGTTTTAATTAAAATGGGGTAGTAAATTGACTTGGCACACCAGAAATAAAAAATAACTAATCCAGTATATAATGGGGTACCGATGGATTGCTTATGTTCGATTTAACGCAAAGTAAATGAGAGTTGAACAGTCTTTAGACAAGGTTGCATTATTAATAACTGAAATAGATTGTTTTACGTCTATGTAAAGATGTTGCTTCAGTGGTGTGTCATAAGGAAAAATGTATTTGAATTCGGTACATTGGAAAATACATATTTGTATTTACCTCCTGAAAAATCAGCCAATAGGATTTGACTTCTACTTCTGATACCGATTGAATGTAACCTACTATTCGACTTTTGTTTGTCTGGGCGGTCCGTAGGAGCTTTGCCCACTTGTCACTGTCTAATGTACGTTAGACGAATCTGTCAGCCCTGCTTGCCCAGAAACCAGACTATGTCAAGGAAAAAGAGAAAGGGAAAGTGAAGAAAAAAGGAGTAGAGCAAAGAAAAATGGAAGTGTACTAGTTTGAAAGGAAACACCTAGGTTTTTTTGACTTGGTACATGGATTCGTTTTGAGGTGAACTAAAAACAAATTTTGATTCAGGTTTTGTTAGTGTAATTTTCTGCGTGGCCTTGAAGGCTTGCTCCACTGTGTAGTCACCGAGTCACGCAATTGAGGGTTGCTGTGCGATTCCACTTGACTATAACGTCGCTGCGCCTGAAGCTTGACATAATCATGTCAAGGTCTCTGTGTAGTGTCTCGTTTGAGACATGCCACCTTTGTAAAGTTCTGCTTTGCAGTACTTGAAGACTTTGCATGTGTGTCTTGGCAAGAAAACACCAAGCCGCACATGCATAAGTAATGGCTGGTCTAATAATCATTTGATATAGTCGAACTTTGTATATGAAACTCAATTTGGAGGATCTACATAACAAAGGATATAGTTGCCGAAACGTAATTTTGAATTTTCTTTCCAACGATGCTGTATGTTTCTTCCAGTTCATGCCTTTATCAAAGATGACACCGAGATACTTGGCAGAATTCGTCCATGGTATACGATTTCCGTCTACCGAAACCTCGGCTGGGGGGTCGCGACGTTTTTTGGTGCAATAAATAGCCTGCGTACATGTTCCACCAGCCTGGCTGCCTGTAGCTCTGTGCTATGCTCGGACCGAAAGCAGTATTTAACGTCAGGAACCGATTTAATGTAACCATATTATTTTCTACATCTAACAGAAGTCCATAGCAGTGGTAGGGTTACGTTCTAAGGGCATTAGAGCAAGAGCAAGTTCTGCCTCTTCCCATTATTAAAAAAAGTAAGTACATTAAGAAGGCAACATAAAAATGTTGTACAATGCCCCACTGACGCAATAGGACAGACCATTCATTTTTCAGTCAAGACATAAGCGGCTCTAATATCCTATATGTAGGTAGACATCCCATTCTGAGCTATGCACCGTTGGGATTACCTACTGCATTTTTAACAAAGCACCACCGGGCTTAAATTACGTCAGTAATACGAAGTATAGTCAATGTGCTTGATGGCTATATTTTTGCTTGTATTCATTAGATAATCATCAAGGTTAGCCAGAGAAACAAAAAGAATGAATTAGCTGTATTGTTATGTGAAGTGGATTGTCATCAAATTGAAAAGAGAAAAGAACTGTGAAACGCATTTTCGACGCTTTCATTCTAACCTTGGATTACAAACCGTGCGGCATTGTTTCTGTAAATGTGTATGTGCATTTATTTAAATCAATTCTCTTCTTTTGTACCATTCTCACCAGTTTGTTGTTTAATATCTTGGAATGCAATGATACAGAGAAAAATACAATATAAATTCCAATTATTGACAACGTGGTATTTTCGAAAATATCATTTCGGCGGGATATTTTAATATTTTGCATCCAAAAAGTTTTTACACCTTTTCCTAGGAGGAAGAAGTGATTGAACTGCTCCTCCAAAGTTCCAACACAAAATTCCGCCCCTAAGCTGTGATGTAAGATGTTTTTCCATATCTCATCTTTAGAATGTGAAGGCTTATGTCAGATGTGAAATTTTTCCTCTGACAGTAATAGTTTGACAGTCAATGTGAGCCCACTTTCTATCGACACTTGGAATATACATCAAATTCTATTAGATGATTCCTTTGGCGGGGATTTAAATGAGTTTTCTGTCGATGCTTGAATTTAAAAAATCTTTTTACCAGTGTACAGGTGAAAATACGAGGATAAACTGCATCATAAGTAATTTTGAAGAAGGTGCCGATATGACCTACGCATCAATAATTGGACACCAGGTTATAAGCTCTCTAAGCAAACTAATGCGGCAGTCCATCATTAAGAAGCTTCTGGAGTATCTTGAGCATCATAGCTAGATTAGTATCGGGCGCTATGGATTATAACATCAGAAAGCGGACTGGAGCCTTTATTGATGTACCTATTGATGTGGCCACGAGCTTAAAGATTCCTTTTTAATTTGATTTTTGAGCTGCCTGGTTAGTAAAACAAAAAGACTTTCTCAGGCAAATTGTCCCATAATCTCGACACTCTAGAAACAAAGGAGCAGTAGTAATAGCCAGTTCTGGATATACGAAGCTTGACATTGAATGGGATGCTGAGCGGGTCCGTCGGGCAGGCTCATCGCACGGCGGCATCATGGAGGAGAGCTCGCTGGTCCGGGACCGTCCGTGAGAGAAGTGACATTGACGAACCGGACAGCCCTCCTTTGAACTGCGTCGAGGGTGTAGTCAGAGTGATACTACAAAAACTAGCAAAAACAGCTATGGCATCCAAACTGCTGATGGCCTCAGGGGACTTTCCAGATTGGTGTGGCTAACTTCCTGCCCGATCGTAATTGCTAGTTTTCCTTCTTCATCCTACAATATCAACGCGTGAGTTCGTCAAGGATCATTTGAAAGTATCTCGAGATATCAGATAATTTAATCTTTCATTCGCGCATGCCATCAAAGTATCAGAGCTGACCTGTAGGTACAAATGAAATAAATCACACTGTAATAAACTAAATTAGGTTGATATTTGTAACAATAAAGTCATAACAGTGAACGTAAATGGGAACTGAATAGCACAGTAAACTATTTGATGATATCTCAGGGTCTATAAATATAATGATTATGCTTTCTTTCTAACCGGAGCAGATAAAAATTCAGCAGTGCATGAAATGAAATAAAATATCTAGTAATTAAAATTAAATGAGCAGATATTTTAACAGAGTTTTCGCTTACGGCATTACCATTAACTTTTTTATTTTACCTTACCAGAGCACCATGCAAACTAAATAAAAGCTACATTTTTCAGCCGCTGCGATACATTCAAAACTTTATAAGACACTAAAAATAATTATGTTTCAGATTGGAACAGCAAAATTTCAGTATGAGTATATGTACTCGTAAATGTTTTGCTATGCGAGTAACACGAATAGACATTTTGTAAACCCCATTTTCAAGACAAGTTATTAATGAATCTTCTGGTCATTTGGAACAGGACAATCGGAGATATGTTTTGTAGTATTTTTTTTTTCAGCTATCCGCTCTTCCTGCACAGGGGGCTTGACATACTGAACCTTATTTTCTGTCAGTGAGTTCTTGATAATCAATGGCCAGTCTAGAGTTCAACAACTTGATCCCCCTTTTGATACCCACCTGACATCCATCGGGAAGCAGCAGATCGTGCAAGGCTATAGGCAACTTTCTCATTAGCAACTAATTCCATGTGGCTTGGTACTCTTCTATTTGAACCCCGAGTCATAAAAAGGCGGGTCTCATGGATGCATTTTGAAAATTGTTAAAAATCATACCACTTATAGTCAAGTACAATGCCTAGATAATAGCTAGCCTCTCGCATCTTTAGGGTGTTGCAGCCCCGACTGCATTGTTCATGCTCGGTGTTTAAAGAAGGACTGTCCTACTGATCGATTACTCTTCTGTAACAGTCTCGAGATCCTTTTGCACCGACGGGCTCTCCTCCATGATACCGCCGCGCGATGAGCCTGTCACATAGACCCGCCTGAGTTCGCCCTCCTATCCTAAACGTGTCGATGTTCGACCATGCAGAACTGGCCGGTATGACCGCTCCGTTGTCCCTAGGTTGTCTAGATTGTGGAACAATTTACCCGAGGAGGCTTATCCCAGTTGTACTAACCTTATGCAGCTCAAAAATCGGATTAACAAGTTGTCTTTAAGCTCCTTATAGCAGCCGCGGTGCCCCGGTACTTAGGCTTAGACATTGTCGGAATAAAAAACATACCTAATTGAAGGAGAGTAGAGTATCGGATCGTACGCTACTGATCTAGGCGCTTCACTATGTGTTGAATTTCCCGGGTACATTTATGTTGGTAACAGTTTTCTGTGTTGAGACATTGTCGCAAAGCTTGTCAGGTATAATAATTACGCCAACGGCTGTTGTTTATTTGTGGTTTATTTTCGTTCTTTTTGCCTCAATATTTGCATTTTTATTTTATAAAAACAGTTTTACATTAAGTAGATTTTGTGAGGCGTCCTAGGATCTAGTAGTTGTAATTAATGTGGCAACCATGTGCGTCACTGTCATTATTTGACATTGTGACGTAACTGCTTTCATTCAGTGAATATACTTTATGTGAGTAAGATCCGCGCACGACGCACACGTACATGCCTTTGACACACAGCGATAACAGTGGCTTACAATAAGATGTTACTCTCTTCCAATTTGGTACTTTTCTAACTACATAACTTCAATAACATGCCCCACTTACTTAAAATCTACATCACAATCGTTGAGTTTGGTGTCTTGAACGGCGCCTACTGCCGCTTCCTTGCCGCCTCCGACAGTAATTGAAGAATCAGAGAAAATTATAGGAGGCTGTGGAGGTTGTGCGGGTGGTTCCGGTAGTACCGCCGGAGTGAAGTTGCCGTCCGCTAACTTCACGTCGCTTTCCGGACTGGCCGTTGAGCCGGTTCCGCCGGTGGAGAAAGGACCAAAAGGGCCGCCAGGGGAGGTGCTGGGGTAATCGGAGTCGATCCGAGAGGCTAGATCGAGAGAATGTTCTTCTACCATTCTGCGCAGCTTTGCCTGAAACAAAATGTCATTTTCAATATGGAATAAAATAACATGAACAGTTTGTACAAACATTGTCGCGTGTGTGCATTCCGAAATAGTGTATTTTTCACAGCCAAAGTGCGGATGTACAGAGTTTCAAATTCGACCCTCACCATTCGAATCTAAAGTCGCTTAAATGAGGGCAAACATGCCGCTTAGAAAGTTTCAAAACTCGTTTTGATATTTCCCTGAATTTGTAGTGGGTTAAAAAGTAATTGCACATTAAGAGTGCCACTTTTACTACTCTACAAGTTAATAGCATGATTAGAATTTCAATTAGACGTTTCGTTTCTTTTGTCCTCCAGCATCAACTTTATTTTTTCTTATGGACGTATTGGATTTTAACACAGATGGATAGAGTTTTTAATTCAGAGTCCAGAAATCTACCATACGTCTCACATTGACATTGCCAAATCTGAGTCATTTGAAAAAAGCAGAATTTCCTGGGTAGCCTTTGGAATTATCAGACAGTCATTTGTCTCCTACATCACATTTCTTTTAAAATCACTTTTATTTTTTCCTGACCTTATTTGAGATGGTATTTCAGAACAAATTGCATGTTGACATTGTAACTTATTCTCCTCTACAAGACGACGTAGTAAAATTTTCAATTCGTCATTCCTTATTTCGACTTCCATGACCAACTTTGTTTTTTCATGTGGACGCTATATTGGAATTTTGCACATTTAGATGGATTTTCCATTCTTGAACTCAGTGATGCATTTTCTTCGTTGGCCATGAATTTGTTGTTGGATGAAAATGTTTAAGGATATAAAAAGGTGTGGTGAAACTTGAACTCAAAATGACAATTTTATTGATGATAGGAATAATAATAATCATAAATAAGCAGAGGTAAACTATAGCAGATGTTCAAAATGTTGCTCGCTATTTTGTAATCAGAGCCTAATTTTTCTATGGACATTGTTCATGGCTCGATCTATTTCCCTTCTTCTCAGTCTTCCAAACTCTATTGCTATGTTCAATTTGAGGTTCGGTCTGATACAGGAACTTATGTTTTGCTGGAATAACTGAGGTTTGGCAATGTCAATGTATGACATATTATACATTTTTGAAATCAGAATTGAAAACTCTGTTTATTTGCGTAAAATATGGCATCCATAAGAAAAAATAAAGTTGATGCTGGAAGACAAGAGACGTAACATCATAATGAAATTCTAATTATGCCATCTTGCAGAGGAGAAAAAGTGACAATATTAACGTGGAATTTATTTTGAAATCCCACTACAAATAAAGTCAGGAAAAAATTAAAACGATTTTGGGAAAATTGGTTATTTTTCCGTCTCTCTTCAGAAGTACTTGGAATTTCGAAACTTTCTAAGCGGCATTTAAGGGACTTCGTATCTCTTACAGTTTCCGAGATCCGAATGGCGAGAGTCGAATTTGAAGCATGCTGCATAAAAACTAGTTGTATTATTCAAAAGTCTTTTGTTACGAATTCGGATTTCTGACCTACTCGTTTATCAGCTCTTTGCAACGCTCTAACAGGAGCCAAAACAACCCCCAAATCACATTCGTGGCAATATAAGTCCTAAGTGTCTTAATTTTAATTACACGGCGTTTGGTCTTTCTCTGTTATACGTGTTCGTAGTTAAACTTTTTCTCAGAAAGTTTAACTTGTTCTGAACATAATCCTTTATGATCTGATGACGGTGTTGCGTGACAGGTGCACAGTCAACCTACTTGTTTTGTATTTTAGCCGCAGTTGTTTCTGAAAAGGAAACTTTCAACTTTCTGAGCTCCTCGTATAATCAAGATGAAAGTCTGCTGACATTTGAGATATATTAGACTACATAACAGTAAATAATTCTAATAATTAATCTAGCTCAATTGCTGTGAAAAAGAGTGTCGACGAGTTTAACGGCCTTGTAGAAAATGCAAATATCCAGAGGCTGTTTGGAGACGTCGCCGGTGCCCTTTGCATGGAATGCTTTCATTATTCCGAATGGTAAATGGAAGGACTATTATGCTATTTGCTATAAAAAGTGGCTTACAATATAAAATTTGAAAAATGTGAATTTCTATTGGAATAAAAATATCTTATTTTGAGGAAAAAAACAGTAAGTAATGAGATAGATGCATTGTGCATCATCCATAGGAAAAGCTTACTATTTTATATCTTTACGAATAGGCGGTATAGGTAGAAAATACTATTTGAAGAATAATTCATGTTTTTCAATTGGCTTTTTGATTGGCTTGGCCGTGAATGCAGGTTCTGTGATAAGCCTTGGAACTAACTTAACCCTCCTTTACAAGTAGAAAAAAGGAAGTGCGATAGGGTTAAACACAGCCACGTTAGCTTGCCGAGAAGCCATTAGGTCACTTGTTTGTACGTATCAGAACTCCTCTCCTGCTCTATCATTTATCACATTTTTTTAAATTGCGGCTTCCCCTTCACAGCAGCTCCGGCCTGCAAATTTTGACTGAATAATTTCCCTATTTCAAAGGGGTAGATAAAGGGATGGGAACACATTCATACGTGAGCATGCATACTTTTGACTCCGTGTCAAATAGAGATAACTGCTATTTCCTCCGTTTGTTGTTGTAGTCTGATCCTAGTTTTATCACTGGACTACCACTCTACTCCACTCCGATGGTGTTTTTAATGGAGCCTCTAAACGGGCAATGTCTGTGGCCTGGCCATATGTCTCAGATATATCGGCTATATCTCGACTATGTTTTGGCAATGTTGTCTGCAAGGTGTAGATACATATCCGAATTTCTCATTAGAAGGACGACATTATTTGATAGTAATATATAAAAATAGCGTTAGATAGGTTGACTGTGCATTTCTCGCGCAACATCCTTATCAGTACATAAAGGACCATGTTCAGCATAAACTAGAGCCACCGGTAGTGCATCAGGAAATATCGCCCCTCCCCGATACCTAACTTGGGCAGAGGTGGCCCTGTGAGCGTGGTAGTACGACCAAGGCATAGAAAACACTATGCTGTTGCAAGCGCCGAAATTCAAGCGATTCCATGAAAGAACAGTCACCACGGTCAGCGCGACTAGGGAGATAAGGGAGGAATGAGTCACTACATTTATTTCCTAAAATCGGGTATGCAGAACCATCCGTTGGTTCCTGGTTAATAACTTTAGTCAAATCTCTCACCGCTTGGCTAGCGAACCGGCAAGAATAATTAGTAGAACATTGTTATTACTACAGGTGCAAAATGGCTGCCAAAACTAAATTTCAATTTTGTGATATCGTTGTAGTTTGCAGCAGGTTAAAGTGAAAATTTGAGTTGATTGTTTAGGCATTGTGACCTCAGGTATGTTGTGAATTATTAATATAGTTATCCCATGGAATAGAACTTTAATAAGAATTTTTGTTAGATTATTTTATAAAATGCTATATAGGCAGACATGAGACAGTTGTTTTGGGGATACATGAGACGTCTCATGCCTCCCTATGTACCGGTTTATAAAATTATCCAATCTAAAATTTCTGTTAAACATCTGATTCAATGAATTACTAATACATAGTTATAAACAATGAAAAAATGCTGATTGAGAAATAATTTTGGAGTACAATTTTATAAGATGCAGCAAATATTCAAGAAGCCTCAATGTCAAAAGCCCACGTGCAAGATCGCGATTTAAACACTAAGCAAAATTTTGTTAGTCCAGAAATGTGGTTCTTCAAGAATTCTTATCGACACACCAGAAAAAGAAGCAATACAGTCTGAAGCAACTGCTCGGAAGATAAAAAAGTTGTTCCGCTGAAGCATGACGATCTTTTATCAAAAACAAACAAACGAAAATCTTTACAGGAACCGGCAACTCCACCACAGACTTCTTCAAGTGATGAAGAGGAACAAAGCGAGTTGGGCGGAAGCAGCGAAGATATTTCAGATGTTGAAACCAACGAAAGAGAAATGCTTCAGATTGAAGCTCTTGAGGATGTCAAGACCCTCCAAGTGGGAGACTTCGTTTTGGTTAAGTTTTTCACAAAAAGACTTCAACTATGCATTATGAGGTCTGGTACCTATTATCACAGGAAGATGATGAATACGAGGCAAAATTTTTACGTCGTCGCGGAACCACCTGGAAATTTGTTTATCCACCAGTGGATATTTCTTCAGGTCAAGAACAAGATATTATTTTGAAATTACCGTTTCCAAAAAATGTAGGTGGAATAGAAAGAGTTAAATCTACTATGACATTTGGTCTGGACTTCCATTATTATTAAAATGTTCGTTGACTTTCTTTATTACTGTCATTATTTTTTTTTCAATAATCGACAGTCGTTGTTGATTAATAATTAATAAACTTCTTGCGTTGTAGATATTCTTAATTTTCATTTCTTCAACAATTAACAAACGTTTCTCAAAAGCTTACAATGTCTCAGTGCTCCCTATAACTTGTTTCATGCGTCCCTAGTCTCCCCTACGCGATCCGCCTCCCGAGAACAAGGCTAATGTACACTCTGTGATGTGTCACATATGTATAATAATAAAATAATATTGGAAGCGTTTAGATGTACCAGCATCAAAAAACTAAGATAAACGGTCCCCCCCCTCCTCCACTCCCAAGTTTTTTTACCTTCAAAATATTTTTCATTTTTTTTATTTTAGGCCTTTTTCTCTGCCGGCACTGGACGGATTCTGAAAAACTACAAAGCTTTTGCGTCCATGGCATAGCAGTAACATAGTGTGAAATTTTCAAACAGACAGACCTACGGAAATAAGTGACACGGTTTTTCATGATGTACATGTCATATAACATCATAAAAACACAATATCTCATTTTCGAAAAATTTTCAAAGCATAGCCGGACTAGAAAAATATTGCCCGTGTCCGTGGCATGGTACATGTTGATTTGCCCGCACCACCCGCAAATTTCACTCGCTCCAGTGCGTGGCTAACGATTGATTATTTATATCGGAATCAAGCAGATGAGTTTCGCTCCCCTTCTCTTCGCTTCCCTTCTCCGAATGAGCGTGCACCTTGAGATAGTTCATTCTAGTTGAGTATGCAGGAATAGGAGATCACCAATTTACATGTACTAGAAGTAGTTGCGTGTTTGAGGGCAACCTCTGCCATTACTTAGAGGGACTATAGACATGGCTGCGGTAATAGAAGATTTTCTCGTCATATAGCTTAAAAATGTTCTAGTTATTGCCTAAGCTCACCTGAGCGTCTACGAATAGACGTCGCATTAGCAGCGCCATGGTGGCCTAGCTGCTTCTGTAATGGAGGACATCCTCCAAAAGGTTCCTGGTACACTCATCGATGACATTACAAAATCTGCAACAAAAAAGGAATAAATAGATTTTTTGATCTATATTGTTTAACTATTTTTTAACACACCACTTGGTATATTTTTGATGTAGCTGAGTGGTAACATGTATATGACATACAAGACTTTAGACGAATGCATTATAATTTTCCCATGGAAATCAAACAGTATTTTAAATGTAATCATAGCATTAATCACTCTCACGTGATGCAAGCTTTTGTTCATTTGTTAAACCTCAATGCCGTGGCAAAACCACCTTTCATCTACTATTCGAAATTCTAATTGTTGCCGTAACAATGGCCAGAGTTTGGGAATATTGTTTTAAGCAATGGAGATGAATTAAAAACCTAAATAGGAAAAGTTAACTTCTGACTAATGATAATTTAGTGCTAACAGAATGCAACTCGGAAAAAATACTTGTCTGGCCAATAAAACTTCATGCATTGACATTACTGTCGTAAACGTTTCAATCACATATTACAACACAATATTGTCATTGTACTGATATAAACAACCTTTGTGGTTGATCCGTTTTCAGCAGTAAGAAGAATACATACATGTGATTATATTGGCCAGACAACCATGGGGTATTATAAATATATAAACAACCACAGGATAAGTTTCAGATGCTATAGCAACTCAGATCCCTTTTTAGACTCTAAAATGCATACAAAATAAATATTCCTAATGCTTAAACAGGACAAGAAGTAATAATAGTAATATTTATTATCCACCTGACACGTATTGGATTTGTGAAAAATAAATACTTCAAGCTAATAAAATCACTGTTGGCATAATGACATTTATCAACTAAATAGTTCTTTAAACGTTTCTTAAAGGAGGCGATAGACTGACTTAATTTAATTTTTTGAGGAAGTTTATTGTAAATTCTAGGTCGTAACACATTTGACGACTTTCTTGCAAAATTATATTTGGCGAGAGGTATGTGTAAATGGGCGCTTTGTCTTGTACTGACTCCGTGGATGTGCTTATTTAACATAAAATTATGTTGGTTTGAGAAGGTGTACATGGCCATCTCGAAAATAAATAATGAGGGCAAGGTGAGTTTACAGTATTTTTTGAACAAGCCCGTACAACTGTGCCTAGAGTCCACACCTGCCATCCATCTTAAAACTCTTAAGGTAATAGTAATAATGAATCGGTATATTGCGGCGGCTACCGTATTGGATTTAAAATAATATCACTTTGCTTATTGCATTTTTCGCATCAAACTGTATATAATCTGTAGGCGATAATCTTCAAAGGTATCTTAATACGATATTCAAGAACGCCTCGAATATTCCATTCGACCCCAGTATTCCTTTACGACACCATTTTTGTATCTCGCGTAGAATCTCTGGCAGAAGCTCGACTGTTCCATGTCCCAGGTTCCATTTGCTTGTCGCATGACCCATTTCGGTGCCTCATTATTACCGCACCGGCTTCGTAGTGTCTGAATAGCAACGTGGAGAAGTCACATCCCATTCAGGCACAAAGTGACGATACATTTAAATGCCACAGTTGTAGATAATGGACAACAAACACATACGTGTGTACGCGGAAATGTACCAGACAGGCACGTATCCAGGAATATGACAGGAACATTTCAAATCAAGTGGCAAATGGTGCAGTAGATAGAAAGATGTGGCCTACAAAATGAGAGCTATCTTTGATTTCTACTGGAGGTTACGTCTTGAAGACGCGCGAGTGTAATTACCAATAAGAAATGGACGCGGTTCTTTTGCCTCAAGTCAAATCTCGTTGGTTATTTGTAGGAATATAAATTTTATGTCATATTGTCAGTTCGTAAGTTTTTCATGTTTAGAAACTATACAATTTTAAGGGAAAAAGGGAAGAGGAGAAGAAAAAAAGAAGTAGGACTGCAAAGAGAACGAAGAAAATCTTTTATAACAGGAAGCAATTATGCATTGTTAAAATCACTGATGAATGGTGCGCAAAGTCCTGCTTTGCCAAACCTGCAAAATTCGCACAACCTAAGTTATTGTTCATTTTATGACCATTTTATAGAGCCGAATCTTGCTCATCAAATTCAATTCTTAACGTGTACATAATAATGGGTAGAGCTGCCAGAACATAATTTGGAATTTAGTTTTTAACTCTCCAAATTATCTTTGTCCAAAATGACACCGCGATACTTACTGGAGCTTTCCCATGGTACATGATTTTTACTGCCCAGCCCCCTTTGGAGGCTTTTCCTGATAGCTTTTCATGTTTATCAAATAAGTGTGTGAATGCATCCATTCACAGCCTAATAATATGTTCATGAATTTTCAAACTCCACCAGTGCTTGACCTGCTATAAAGAGGAAGAAAAGTAACGCAGGTCCACAAAAAAGAGGCATGTAAATTGAGTAATGAAACAATGGAGGAGAAACAACTTTCTTTTGAAGGCCGTCAGCGCTGGACACGGTTCTTCCACTCCTCATGGCAGTACTGGATCTCCGATACTGGAATAGCCTTCAGCTGGTCGGTTACAGCCGTTTGAATGTTTTCGACTGTTCGAAGTGATTTTTCAACTTCGGGAAGAGAAAGAAGTCACGAGTACTCAAGTTAGGCGAATAAGGTGGCTGAAGAGCTACTGGAACGTTTCTACTGGCCAAAAGCTCGTTCATGGCCATTGCTGTGTGAGCATTATCGTGATAAAACAGCCAGTTGTTCTTGATGAATGACCCTTTAACGTTTTTGAAAAGTGTTGATTGACCGTTTGGCCTTGATGTAGAAGCTCTTCTAATTCATCTTTATTGCTTTTTGGGGCCTTGGAGAGGTTGAAGTGTACCACTCAAACATCCAAGACTCATCACCAGTAATAACACGTTCCACAAAATGGGGATCATTTTCAATCGAATCCAAAAAGTCGATGTACCTTTCCTTCCTGATGCCCTTTTGGTATTGCGAAAGGTTTTTTCGAACCTTCTTTGCGCAGATTTTTCTCATTCACAATCCACTGGTCAAAATCTAATGAATGGTGGTGTGAGTCAAATTTAATTCTTCTCCGATCATTCTGTCAACCGACGATCTGAACGCACATGATACCGGATTCTGTCGATATTTTCATCGGTTCTTGACGACGAAGGCCTTCCGCTTCGTGGCTCATCTTCAATCGACTCTTTCCCTTCTCAAAATGCCTTAAACCACCAAAAAACCTGGGCATTCAATAAAACATTATCTCCGTAGATCTGCTAAAGTTTAGCAAGAGTTTTTGTTGCACTGCGCCCAAATATGAAACAAAAGTGATAGCACACTGTTGCTGAAAATTTATGTCACTCGTTTTTAAAACACAATAGAAAAAACTGTTTCACAAAAAAATTGCAACGGACAACCAAATGACTCGAGCTATTTCAAACTTGTACTGAAGGCGGAACACTTGTTCCTCTGTCTCCCCACCAAGCCCAGAGCCTCCAGTGTTGCCAGATCGAACGCTACGTTTCCAGCCTCATTACTTAATTACAGACCTCGTTTGAGCATATAGTTGGGTATAGCGCTATCTATGATTAACCAGAAGTAGATTTTTAATTATTGCGGAGTGGAAAAACATATACTTGGTAAATTATCCTAGATGACGCCCTAGTACCTGATTTCATCTCGGATATTTTTTCAGGTAGAATACGTTAATGACTGCTAGTAGTCAGTAATGGCAATAGATATTTGATATCCTAGCTATTTCATAAAGATAAAACGAATTTTATAGACAGTAGACATCTATCGCTCATCAGAGTGAAAGTAGCCCCATCGCACCGATCTTCCTCAGGAAGTCGAATAAAATCGATCAAAACATTGGAAAGAAAGAAGTCGTGTAGATTTTACTGTTGATCGATACGGAACCACCACAAATGGCCAAAAGTAGCTTAATTGCCTGGCATCGTCTCTATATCGGTACTACTACCTCTGTTAATGCATATGCATATGCATATGTGAAAAATAAATATCTCTCAAGATATCCTAACAAAAACAGCATCTTTTTAAAATTGCACAAAACCAAGAAGCGTGACAAAATGCAGGTATGGTCCATGAGAATCACTTCCTTGTTAAACAAAAATTGTTTAGCTTTCAGGAAACGTTTCCGCTGACTGAAAGCTTCCACTAATCGCTATGACCTCTCAAAAGAACAAAAGGTAGTTATACTCTAATTGATGTTTACGTGACCTTTTTGCATGAATGCAACCAACGCATTTCCTCTTTTTTGCTCTCAGCCTTTATTTCTTCTTCCCTTCTTTCTCCCCATGACTGTGTCTGGTATCTGAGCAACAAAACCTAAGAGATACCAATATATAAGACCTTAACCAGAAGCAAAGCATTGCATCGAGATCAAAGGCAAGTTTGTTGATTTTCCTACTCCAGCTTGAAAATAAGGGCAACTCCGGGTCTGATATGCTGATGTTATTTCACCGCGGCTTCTGTGGTTGATGCGGGATTATAATGGTTCTACGGGTTGCTGTAAAGTCCCAAACATGAATGTTGGCAACACATCATCACTCCAACCAGCAACAGAATGAACGTAAATCTATGCAGTGCTTTGCCCCATATTTTCCGAATACTGATTTACATTGTGATGCTACAGTCTATCATACTATATGATTATATACTGGATAATCATAAACTTGACAGAGTACAGGCGGCAAAAGACCTACAGTATATTCAGATAAGAGATAGACCGGACATAAACAAGACCACGTGATCATCGAACGCTGTAACATTCGGCAGGGACGTATTAAGAGTCACGCAGTACATATTTTAGATAGTAGATGCTGCTTTGCGTAACTTTGTAGTAAATTAGCACAATTCGATGTGTATACGATTGGTGATGGATATAGGATCATGTGGGGGTGGGGTAAGAAATATATAATGATGTAAATATACATAAGGGCTTCAAAATTTTCGCTTCGATTTCCAGCTTCGGATGCCGCCTGATGTTTGGTGAAATACAGTCGAATATAATCTCAAAATGGCGTTTAAATTAGCCTAAATTAAAAATAATCGTATATCTCTTAAAATTGCTTTAAGAATATTGATTAGTATATTTTTTGATTTCTAGGTAAATATGTAACCAAATTAAAACGTTCAAAACGTAAAAAAATGTGCATGGTTGAACATTGTCAGAAAGTAGAT